ACCGTTACTTTTTACATGATCTGGAGAGATTTAAAAACAACAAATACTCAAAAATACTTTACAGCTTGTTATGCTCTTAAACTTCTAATAATTGAAACGAGTTATAAAGTTAATTGTATCAAGTTGTATTTTTTCAGCACTTCAGTTAAAGAGGACCTAAATAATAAAAATGGTCTCATTACTCAGGGATTCCCACTTCTGCTTTTTCAACACCTTCTGCTATGCCAGGAATGAACCAGCCACCAAAAAAGCTCTTTTATGTTCATAGAGTACAAATTGTTCTGGAAGACAGCTCGTGTTCCAGAGGAAGATATCTCTGAGAAAGAGTTGAGCAACATCACAGCTAGCTGAGCCACTTGGAGATTAAAGGCTTGCCACTGCTCTAGGGTGCTGCTTTGAGCCAGGAGTGCTTGCTGACCCGCACTGGGATGAGTTTTAGCACCCTGTACCCATTTATTCCAAACATACTCTTTYTTCATCAGGTTCAGCATGATGCATTTTCTTCTGCAGCACTTGCTGCTAGTTTTGTTACATCTTTTGGCCATCCCATGTTTACTGTTCCTTCTTGGGAAGTGTCCTGCTAGAGTCATCTTCAGGTTTTCCTGTCTGCCTTTTATAAAAGGCAAACTTGTTGGATAGAGAAGCTTCCTATTGATGTAGCATTACAGAGATGAAACTAAGGATTAAAACTAAGAAACCAATGTGTAAAATGTGATCGTGTTCATGTGGCTAACACGATCATTTTGCCAATGCATGCTAGCATGCAACTAATGTAAATGGAACCTACACGGTCTTAATCCTCTCCATTTCTGAGCACTGCTGTTGATTAAAAACATTGCATATATACCGCATTGTTATTTAAGGTGATAGGTATTTCCCTCTCCCTCCTGAATTTATGACTTTGAGAATTTTAGTGCACGTATTGTTTCATGATATTTGTTTTAAACATCTCTTTTCCTTCAAGGATTTTCAAGTATCAACATTTGTTCTTATTATGTTTACAACCAAACCCACAAATTAGCAGGAATGTTTGTTCTTATAAGAAGAATGAAACAAGTCTTCCAATGGCTTCTAAAAAGACTGTTTTTACTAGCTTAAATCAATATGCCCAAGTGATTTGGTACAGTTATGGCTAGGTGGAATTAGCAGCGATTAAGTGTAGTCAGTTGTAGTAAGGCGCATAGGGACTGTGGCTTGACTATGAACGTGATCCTTTTTCTTTTTTGCTTTTTACYTGTAAGCTCGAAGAAAACATAATATTGCTTGGTCTGGCCATGCTTGAATTGAACAGCCCCTGTTCTGCTCAGAAATTGGTTCAGACGGGGGACAAGGCGGCAGTGCCACCGGAGGCTGTTCTCCTAAGGGAAGGGCGGCAGTAGCYGACCCGGGGAGCCCTTCTCTTCTGGTTGCTACCAACCGAGCAGAGCCTAGACGTGTAACCTCGCTGTTGGTGGTTCAGAGATAAGAATTAAATACACTATGCAAATATATCTACTTAGCATCAGGTTTTAGACCACCAGGAGACTCCTCTGTAAGCTTTTGCTGTCAGGTCTTTCTGTGAAAGCTGCCCCGTAGTTTTCCCAATGGTCATGAACAGTAGCATCTGCTGAATGAGTATGGCAGGGACGCTTAGTAACTCTTTGGGGCAGTTGTATGGACTTTCAGGGAGGAACTTAGCAGATATGGGTTGTGTGTCCTGTTAGCATGGAAGGTTTCCTTTGTTGCATAGCTCTGAGTGACCAAGTCTGGATTTGGGGCATTTGGAGCCTCTTTCTTACTGTCTGCTGCACTGACAAACTGCAATGTGATTAATTCTCYATTTGACACTTTTTTGTTGTCGTTGTTCAGAAAGACACATCCTTTGTGAAGGCAAGGGCTGGGGTGAAGAGCCCATTGCTGTTTTCACCCTTTTCTTCCCTCTCCAGCCAGGTACTGGAGCAGAATGGAGCAGCTTTGGGGGTCCTAGAAGGGGTGTGGGTGAAAGGAGGCTGGGCAGTGGAGGAAGGTGGTAGGCAAAGCCCTGTAGTCTAAAGAGCTGGGGGAAGGCTAGTGCCATCTTGTACTGAGTGARACCCCCGGGGACAGATTTTTAGCTCAGTGAGATTGAGTGAATTCCCRGCCATCTTGAGGAGGACTGAGAAAGGGTCAGGGCACATCGATTAGGATTTTCTTTTTCCAAGAAGCTTGAGAACATCATAACACTTTCTGGTCTCAGCTCTTCCAAAATTCTCTTGCCCATCCACCAGCAGGATGCAGCTCAGACACCCACAGTGCTGCTGTGTGGTTGTGGAGTGAGCCTCCAAAACAGCAGCAGTGCATACACCCGGGCAGTAGCATCTACCTGAGCTCTTGAAGAGACAGAAACAGTCTTAAAAACCTATGAACCACCTTATTTATTTTACATAGGTGCCCCATGGATTTTATTTATAACTCTGTGCTTGCATAAATAGGTGATGTTCCAATACGATTCCGGAGTTTGTAAGGGAAATACCAGTTGCAGAAGTTATGGAGCTACCATTTTTCTCCTGCCAGACTCCTGGCATTTTATTAGGCCTCTTTGGCCTGCTGGAACCTGCCTGCAAATTACATTTTAGTCTATGACTTCTCTGTGTGGGATAGAGCTGGTTCAGTTCTGCCTCTCGTACCGCTCCATGGAACTAGGCAGCGGGCGAACAGGAAGCCAGCACTGGAATTTGGTTTGGCAAGGTGAGCTGCGCTCCCTGGAAAAGAGCGCGGTGGTAGAAGAGCCAAAGAGAGAGGCTTCTGGAGTAGCCTCCAAGTGCTGTTTTTCTTTCAGCTCCTCTGCTCACCAGCTCTTCCCACCCCAAAGCCTCACCTACTTTTCTGGGAAATATGGAGAGAAATGCTTTGCCAGGATCCTTGGACCAGGCAGCAAAAAGCTTAGCAGAAATATCCTTCTAGGAAATCACTGAATTTTTATAACAGTGCCTGTGTTCAACTGTGACCTATATACATTTGTTTGCGCTTTTAACTGTGGCAGAGATGTTCCTGAAATTGTGTGTCAGAAGTTAACTCTGTCTCCAGGAGCAGACTCAGAGGTTTGAGTTTCAAAGGCCAGTCTTCTTGTGCTGGGGAGCACAACGGGACAGCTGCCTGTTCCCCTAGGTTTTTAAGGGGAGGTTAATAGCTCTACAGTGGTGAAATACAGCAGAAATTTTCTGTCATTGATGGGGCCTCCCCACAAAGTTTAGAGCAGGGCTTTACAGCTAACACTACACTTGCAGACCGAGATGACTGAAGGCCTGTTTGCTAGTACAGGCTTATTGTGGTACCACTGACAGCTCAAGATGGGCTGGGAAGAAGGTTTCCCAGTGGAAGATGGGCTGCATAATGAGCAGGGAGGAAAGATGGGCTGAAATGAAGCTACCCCGTTGCTGTTATCTTAAGACTCACTGAGCTGYACGACTCATTCCTCCCTCGGGGGACACAGGTGCGCAGAGCTATTTTTCTTTAATCACTCACATAARTGTAATTTATTCCTTTGCATTAAAATAATTAAATAAAGCAACACCYTCTATCTTTTTATTGCCAGATAATATCTTTGAACCTTTGGCTTACCATTTTGCTATCAGCTGCAAGGTATTTTCCAGGGTGTGCTTAACCAATTTTACCATTGTCCTGAAAAGTGTTCTAGGCAGAGAAATCCCCTGATAGCAATCAATGTTCATATGAACTTTTAATCATTGCATCCACTGGGAATAATCATTTCCGGGCCTCTCTTGAAGGCCAGCTGCCCCACACTAAGATGAAAGGGACTTCCACGCYGTGTGTCAAGCGATGCAGGCCCGACACTTACCGGGATGTTAAGCACAAATTAAAAAGGTTTGATGAATATTGATGCGGGCCTGAGGTTGGCCAGTTACTGATGAGGGGATGCTGCTGCCAAGTCTGGAACCRACTGGCAAGGAGCAAAAACGACTTTTGCCTTTCCTATATCCCCGGAGGGTTTTTTCCTGCTCTTTTTAGGACACGACACTACATGCAAAAGTACAGCAGCATACGTGTTCAGGATGGAGGTGTGTGCTTTGGGAACAGGGTTTGTGTGCTTTCCAGGTTAGGAACGATTTTCCTGGGTTCGTTGTGACTTGTCTTCTGCCTGTTGAACCCGTCGTTTTGGAAAGCCTGCTGCCTGCTCGCTGGCGCAGCACCCACGCGCGGCGCTTTGTTGCGCCGCGTTGGTTTCTAGCCAGAAACATCAAAGGAGCTCCGTGGCAAAGCTGCACTGTTTCCTTTCTGGTAAATACTTGACTTGTATAGAGCCTGCCCCCTGTGGAAGCAGGGAAATGGTTTAATGTTGAACCAAACCGTCTCTGCTCCCAGGTCTCCCTATAGGTATGTGGCTTTCCTTGGTTAGGCGCTGGCTGGCCTGCCACTGCTGGAGCTACCTTGGGTCCTGTTTAGGCATCTTTCTGAGGCTGCTGAGCTGTAGGAGTATCGTGCGGCTTTGACACCCGCTCTGCATCTGCTACCCCAAAAATCTTCATTGCTGCTTGTGTGGAAACAGAGGTACATTTATTTTGACCTTTAGAAAAAAGCTACACAACAACCTTGGAGCTACTTGATGTCAGTATGAAGGGAAGGAAACCCCTTGAACTCTGTAACAACCCTCCTGATGCAGTGTTGACAAGCTGTATAGGAAAGGTGACCACAATTCAGAGGGCAGGAGCTTCTGAATGTGCATGTCCAGAAGGGCAATCTCAGAGGCGCTTTTCTTCCTCCTTGGCTGCCAGAATCTTGGGAGGTTTTATAAGTGGCCAGCACTGTTAGTGGCTGAATTTGTGTAGCTGGGATAAAAAAAAAAAAGGCAAGAATTAACTCAGGAGTTACACTGTGCATATGTGGGAGAATAAAACCTGTGCTCTTTGAAAGAGCAAATGCTGGTTGGCTTGTTGTGTAAAGCCCAAATAGCCTGGCCTGGCTCTGGGCTTTGCAGGCCCCATGTATTCTAATTTCTGTCTCTTGCTGTCTTTTATTTGCAGCTCAAAGACATGTCCTCACGTACATGGAGGATGCAGTGAGCCAGCTGCTGGAGAACAGAGAAGATATTAGTCAGTATGGCATTGCCAGGTTCTTCACTGAATAGTAAGTACATCAAGACCTTGCCAATAGGGCCAGCCTGAGGGAGGCCTTTGGAAACAGGCAGGGTACATGGAGAATGGAACTGGACACATGCTGACTATATTGTGAATGTGGATTTCACTGGGACAGCCGGGGCTGCCTGAGTATTTTTCAGAAACATGCATGGGTTTCCTGCATTTCAGCTTCTCTCCTGTTAAACACCCACATGAAGCAGTAGCTTTGGGCAGCAGGGCTTTCAGAAAGCATAGGGAAGACCAGATGCTGTTTAATCAGACTGTTAGCCAGCATGAAAAGCAGGGACTACGTTTGGCTTCAATWGCACTCATTTTTCCTATTCTGAGTATGAATTTAAACTGTTTTGTCTCCTTGTATGCTTCTTATCGTAAGGGGGCTCTTCCTCCTCGCTGATAACCTGTGTCATCTTAAATAGTACACTTAGGAGTGGAGTGACCAGCATGGCGAACTTCTTGCTCCTAGTTTGGGAGGAAGTCTGGGGGAAGAACTGTGTACCAGTCTTCAGTGTTGTTGATGTTGACTCAGCTGTTTGCTGCATGTTTTGCTAACATATTATCTTGTACAATGCTTTAAAATTCTGCAGGTAATGGATATGCTTGCAATGGGTATATGCTTCAAAATATTTTGATGCCCATCTGAAAATCATTGCTTTCTTGTTCTTTTTTTTTTTTCTTTTTGTTTCCTGAATACTTCTCCTGAGGCAAATCAATGTCAAGAGAATTTCACAATCACCTATGTACTGCAGCAGGGGAAGAGGATCTTGAAGCACTAGATTACCATTCCTCTTCAGATGGCTTGGGAAGAGGAATTTTTTTGTTGTTTTTAATTTCTCTTTTTAGCTGTCTATCTAATCTCCAAATGAGATCTACTTTTTTAATTTGAATGACAACTGACTGGGCAGTTTACATGGCATTTCCTGCCTCACACACCTTTTAAACTAGCAGGTAACTGAGATTTTCACTAGTTAATGTGTAGCTAAAATAGTAAGACCGAGCAAATTTGTTTTGAGACAGGATAACAAGCTAGCCAAGACCAGCCATGCTCTGACTATGMTGGGCAGAGGCAATAAGGTAGGGACTGTCTTGCTACAACTGTTTGTGTACCAGTTCTTTTAAGTAGATGGCCTTGCAACAGGAGAAGAGGATTTCCTGGTAGTACTACTTTTTTTTGCTCTCAACAAAGTACTTCTAACTTTCACTTGGAGTGAATCATCCACATTATAAAATCTGGAAGATGTAGGCAGTGGTTCAGTGAATAAAGACAATTTTACAAGAGGTACTGAACAAAATATCAAGGTTGTTTAGTTTTACTGTTAACTTCGGTGTAACTAGAATGAATACTCACTTCAAAGAATTTCATACATCTACTTTAGAAGGCAGCAATACTTGGTACTGTGCAGATTTGATAAGAGGATTGATTTTTTTTTCCCCTATTTGTAAGGTACTCTTTCTCAAGCTCTCAAAGTGCATTCCCTTTCTATAGATACCCATAGTAAAAAAACSCACACTGCATCAGGATTGAAATGCTTGTTTCCATGTCCATATTGTAGTTCCATACAATATTTCTTCATCATGACCTGACAATTACCCTCTTTTCTACTTTTATTTCTCTTCCGCCTTTAAAAGAATAAACAATACTTCCTGATTGTTATGGCAAACAAAAATGTCAATATTTATTATTATAAATATGAAKCCACCATAGAACACTACTCCGACTGACTTAGAAAACATGATCTCTAGTGCCTTAGTTATTTTCAAACTAAGATATGAATATCTATCACAGCATTGCAGTCATGCTGATTGCTCCGTGGAGCTTCTGTTTTCTCGAAAGACAGGAAAATACTCAGGATTTGTCTTCTCTGGGAACAATGCAGAACTTGTCCCTGTCTTTTTTAGTGGTATGGTTGGAGGTTAGCTGATGAAACAGTGTCTCTGTACCAAAGCACAAGTAGGCTCCATCATTTTGAGAGCTGTGAAACTCTTAACATATGAAATGTGGGAGTCTTTCTTCAAAGTGGAGAATAAATTGCCAGAAATTTGGATGTAGATATAATCAAAACAGGAAGTTTCCTATTATGAAAATGCCATCCGTTCTGGCTCCTAGACTGAGCCATGAGCCTCCTCTCACTGCCCTGTGGAATTCTGTTCCTCCTCCAGCATCTGCRTTTGCTCAGGCTATACTGTGGAGGCTGCGCTTGTGTTGGATGGCTCTGCCAAGCAAATCAGCTTGATCTTGGTTTTTAGTTTTAATCTCAATGTCTTAGAACTCAGAGATAACTTGTGAGATTCCACAGGGATTGTGTCTACTCTCCCAGGCTTTTCCTTGATGCAGGTTATTCTAGGTGAGAGGATTGGCTCATTTTGAAGTATGCTGGAATGATTTCAGATGAAGGGATTTGGTATTGGGGTGTCTCATTTTTCACAGTGTGCTTTCCCTACTTACATTCGCTTGAAGAATTCACAAGCCCAAAGTTTAAATATCTATCCGGTATGGCCAAATAAGTGGTGTGTGGTTTTTGTTTGTTTGCTTGCTTGTTTTTAATGTATATAAGGCATTGATTTCTGTAATTTTGCGGAAAAGAACCGAGTTAGTGTGTCAAGGAGGAGTATTCTCCAGACTTTCTTCAGGGTGCACTTTCCAGCAGAGTGGTGCTCCAAGGACATGTCATGAATTCATCAGTGAAGAGCCATTGTGTTCTTTCCAACAGGAATTACAGTGCCCCACCTTTACCATGTCACTTCACGTCCCTGTGACAGGCTGTAGCAGCTATTTTTTGGGTAATTAGTGTTATGAAAATAAGCAGTTCATGTTGAATTTGATCTTTATTTGAAGAAGATTTCTGAGTTGGAAGCTGTATGATCACATGGCTGTGTACAGATCAAGCAGTGATTGTTCTGTAGGCAGTGACTGGTTTCTAGTTTGGCAGACTAAATTGGGTATATATAGCACTGCTGTCCACAGCCTAGCACTGGAATTACCCATTGCAGAAGGCTACGCTTCATCTCTACAGCTCTCTTTCCAGAATACTTCTTAGTCTTTGAGAATATTTTCTTCTCCCTCTTTATTCCATTGTTAATTTTTCCCATGTGGGAAAGCATCTGCTTTCAATCTTGGGAGTTCCTTGAGGCTCCCCTCATCTGACTCACTCCTAACCCTTACGGAATAGGGCTCAGTCACCCTTCTGCCAATTAATCCACATCTTTTAGCTGAAAGAGTAGAATTATGCCTCTCTTAGGACTAGTCTTGATTTTACAGATTTGCTGAAATGCTACTGGTATTTGTTCATTATAAATCCCAGAAACTTCTGGTCTGCTTTGGAGTCTGCATGAAATGCAGAATCTTTCTTGAAAGCCTCCTTATAATTATAGACTAACACTGCCTTGCTTCTTCCAGCTTGACTTCTGTGCCAGCGCATCTTAAAGGGACACGTTCCTCCTATACATTATTTATCATCCTGTTTCTTGATCTTTCCTGTACTGAAGAAAAACAGGGCCCCCACGTTAATGCATTTGATCACACAGAGGAAAAGTGTGCAGTATCCTACTTCTGGGATTTTAAAGAGAGGCTGTGTGCTTCTATGCTTATTTCACTTCAGCTGGAAGAAGCAGCAAAAACTTCTTTCTTTAATCAAGACATCCTACCAGTAATTTTTACTTTTCTTCTGTACTAACTCTTTGCTTCAAAATTTCTATTCCAGCTAACAGGTAGACACCCTACTCTGTTTAAGAGTCTTTGAAAAGCTCAGAAATGTTAACCTGTGTTAACCATTTAATTTTGACAGGGAAATCTTTTCCCTATCACTTTTAAAGTCTCTTTGATAAAGGAAATAGAAGTGAACAAGAGATAACTGAAAAAAAATATTTTTCTTGTGTGATCTTCTCTTGAGATACTTTGTTTTTCCTCATTTCTGGTGAAATGTCTCCCTGTCCACTTGCCAGCTGGAGCTTATTGAGAAAGGCTGGCATGCTGCTGCTTCTGYTGGGCTCTGCATGCAACGTGGTGTCCGTGATTCCCTTCCTCTGGTAAGGATGCTTCAGCAGGGTTTAACTTGAAATGCCTCTGCTGGRTCTTGTGAGCACTGACTGATGTGTTGCCTGATGACAGTGCTGATAATACTTATCAGAAGGTGTCTGTGATGTGTGTGTTTGTTTTGGGTGGGGGGTTGGATGCTTCTTTTAGGTCTGTGATGTGATTGGCATCAGCTTTCAGGAGTATAGGCAGGACATGGAAATTCCAAGTCTACCCTGCTGTAGAGCACTGTTTTGCACAAAGGAATATTTCCTTTGTTCAAAGCAGCAGCACTGACAGTGCTGTATAGATACTATCATGCCAAGAAGTGTTAATTTACCGTACATGGAAGTCCTTCGTTTTCTCCTGCTCCCTGGATTAGCTGGAAGAATTTGTTGAACTCAGTCCTTAGGAACAAAAGTGATATCCCAACATCCTAGATGCCCTGTAACACTTGAAAGAGCAAAGCACATATGAATCAAATGACCTGCAAGCAAGAGCCAAGAAGTACGTCGTAGAAGGGTTTCCTAAAGGTTTATTACAAGAATAGAGATGACCATCTCAGTTGCCATTCATTTTCCTGTCTGGTTGATCTATTACACCTTTTTTAGGTTGTTCACTGTTTACCTTCTTCTCATGTCAAGCTGAAACCTTTTATCTTCTAAATTCCTCAGTTCTGTCTTACTCTACCTTTCTACCACTTTTTTTTTAGTACTGTTCTCTTGGCTTCCTCTGGCAATAGCAGTGGCACCAGCTGTGTTACCAGAAAAGCTTGTTCAGTCCTGTACTTTTGTATGATGTTACCTAAGTAAATCTGCAGAGGAAAGAGTGTTCTCTTTAAGACTCTCCTTTTCTTTCTGTGTTTCCCCCCCTTTCTTTTTCCTTAATCTTGGGATATATCATAATTTTACTGTCATCTCTAGTGCATCTTTCCCTTTCTCACAATAACTTGCCCTATCTTGTTTGCAAGAATAGTGTGA